GCTAATGAAGATGAAGATTCAGTAGAGCTTCTAGGAGTCAGAGCCTCCAAAAATGTGGAACATCTGTAGAGGAAAGCCACAGACCATGAGTGGGACCAATATGAGAAAGAGGCAACTTGAAAGGCTCTAAGGATGGGGCCACCTAAGCCCTTTGGAGCTCACATCTTACCACCACATCCCCTGGATGATGGACATGGAGCCACAGAACTTAATTGTCTCTGCATTTCCTTTTCTTTTGTACCTCACCTCTTTTTTTTTTTTTTTTTACCCCTTTGGAATGGGAACGATTATTCTTTGCTATTTTATGTTGGGATTACATAGTCTGTTTTTTTTTTTAATTTTACAGTGGTTCACACATAAGAATCTACCTTGAATCTCAGAGGAATCTTTGAATTTGGATTTTTTCAGCAGTGCTGCAACTGATAATGAATTTGAGGAAGGCATTGGTGCCTCTTTAGCTGTACCTAGGACTGTTATATTAGGGTGGAATTATGACCTTGTGCTTTTTTGAGATTAAATATGACTTAAAGAGATGCCAAGCTGATGAAGAGTGAAATGTGCCAGTTAAGGATGATCACAAGTTTGACTGATTTAAGAGTTATTTAAGAGATCGGTAACTCACACTTCTAGGTGTGTCCATGTGGGACATAGAGAATTAATTTTGGATGCTATGTCTGGTATCTGTTCCCTTTCTCTTGGAGATGCACTATTCTTTGCTTTTCAGATAGCATGAACTAAGCAGCTTTGATCTGCCGTCATAGCTTTTCTGCCTTGGAACCAGCTGACTGTAAACTAAATCCTCTGAAACCAAATAAACCAAATGAGCCAAATAAACCCCTCCTTTAAATTGCATATGTTGGATATGTAACCCCAGTAACAAAAAGCTAATATATGCACGCACATTTCTTTCATTAGTTACATTCTGTTGATTAATGATATTGTTTGATTAGTATATTTCTCATCATCTGTTAGCATGAATATAGACAGGATCATGTCTGCTTGTTAAATTTAATTGTTGAATTTCTAGCACTTATCAAAGTGCCTGATACATGATAGAAGCTGAGTAATAACTTATTTAGTAAACTAGTAAGTGAACTATGCTAAGTATTTTAACAAAATGCATATGTTTGCAAAGGGATTTAAATTGCATTATTCATGAAGTAAGAACTAACACACAAAAGAATAAAGATGGGACAATTCAAGGCATTAAAACACTAAGTAGTCAATATTAAGGAGCCATTTTTCAGGATACCAAAACTTGCTAAAAATGAAGATTTAAGGTACTGAAATAATATATTAAATGCTAGAGATATGAGAGAGCTCAACTAGAAAATATTGATTTTTGTTATATATATTTTTGTATATGTATATGTGTACACATATTTTTATGTATAGTCCTAGAAATAATCTAGGACTGGTTAAGGTAATGAGTTTTTTTCTCTAATATAAATTCAACTGTTGATTATGAAGTACAATCTATAGCAACTGAAAATTACTAAAGAAATAGAGGATAATTTTTCTGTTCTGACTTACTTGTTTGCAAATGTGGGAAACATGTGTCTTAGTTTTTACTTGAAATGAGACTTAGATTCTGGCTGTGGGGACCAGGAAATAATTCAAGCACATTGTTACCTTGTAGATGAATCACTTTACTAACTGCATGCTAGTTACGTGGCCGTCTTTTATATCTGTTTTTGTGGTGCATATTGTTTTATTTTTTAATAAGGGCAACAGTCATATTGGATTGAAGATCCACCCTAATCCACTATGGATTCAATTTTACTGATTATATATATATATATATATATATATATATATATATATATAATTACAGAAACTTGACTTGAACATTTTACAGTTTCAAAAATGACATGAATTTGGGTGGCAGTATTTATCACAATAAAATAGGTGTGAAAACACAGCTTTCTAGACCTGGTTTTTGGCAGCAAAAATAGACAAATTTTAGAATTATACTTAGAAACAAACTGAAAGAAACTGAGAAAGACTGAATAGAATTTTAATGGACTTTTTACAATTTGCCTCTTTGTAATATATTACTTCAAGTTCAAAGCGTTACTTCAAGTTCAAAACGTAAACAGGTGAAAAGAGATTCCTTTCATTATCTCCTCCTTTATTTTTTATTCAAAATTATATAGTTCATTGGGTGTGGTGCTGTATGCCTTTAATATTAGCACTCCAGAGGCAGGAGACTACACAGAGATACAGGCCAGGCTGGGCTAATTAGTGATTTCAAGGCCACCCTGAATTACAAAGCAAGACCCTGCCTCAAAGCATTACATAGTTTTGGTTCTTTTTTGTTTAAAACAAAACAAAACAACACCAAAAAAAATTATTTAATTCAACCCTAAAAGCATTATTTTCCTGTAAGTATGGGAGATTCTGCTATACCCCATTAGTTACTTTTTACTCGCTGCTGAGACAAAATATCTGAAGCCCAAGTTGGAAAAGGAAAGGTTTATTTCTTATAGTTTTTGGAGGTTTCAGTCCACACTCAGTTGGCTCCAAGGCAGGCAGGCATGGCTGGGCTGCAGTTCATGGCGGCTGCAAATAGCAAGCAGGAACCAGCAAAGAGCAAGCCACACCTTCTTCCTGCCATTACATCACATCCTGCTCCACCCATATGTGGGTGGAGCACTGACACCATCAATCCAAGCACTAGGCAATGAGCCAATCACAAATGCACAATGCAAACTCATGAGGCCTGGGGACACAGACATAAACCATGACACCTCCTTATCTAACACTCTGACCCAAATTACCTCTACTTCCTCCTCACTTCCAGCTGGAAAGCAGGATCATCTTAAAACTGTGCTTAGAAACACTTCTCTCTTTAGGAAACCTGTATCTTGTTATTTACCTAACAATTTTTTGCTGAATTATGATAGAAGATAGTTACTGAATTAGGAAAAAAGGCACATAGTGTCCTGCCTGTAACGTAAGTCTGCATGGGAACCTAAGCACTGAACAATTGAGCAAATACATGGATAATGATGAAATATAAAGCTTGCCACCATTGTGTGTGCCACAAAACAGGGCTCTGTGATTACAGAGTACCAGTGAAGAGTGGAAGAGAGAGACACTGAAAAGTTCAGCAGGAATGTTAAACCTGGTGTTACAACATTTGGAAGTAAACACAGGTCATTCCTGAAGCCTAAAGAATCAATGAAACCACTCAGGTGGAGATGGAGAAAATGTATGCACAAAAAAGTTGGTTCATAAAAGTGATGAAATCAGAGTTGGTCTTATTGAAGCAGAGATGGGAGTGAGCACTTCAGATACTCATTGGTCCCACAGTCATGAAACTATCTAGGGACACAGTTTATAAAACTCATGGTGATGTGGGGAAAACTGCATAAGGCAGATCTTCGCTCCCAGCATCCATGTGGTCTATCATCTCTGACCTTCATATTCTCATTGATAGTAGTTTATAATCTCTTATAATCTCTTTAAATTCTACCACTGAGTTACATAGGTCATTCTCAGCAGGTTCTAAGATTTCAATATTGAGGGATTCTACATAAATAAAAATGTCTGTCTCCTTAATAGAACAAGTTATGATTAATATAAAAGTTAAAGATAATTTCATGGGTAAAGCAAAACAAACTCTGCATTGCTTTCTATTTTACACTAATGTCAGAAAATATTCTCTTACAAAAGCACGGTTTCATAAGCATTTCTCTGTGCAGAGTTCTCTTTTCCTCCCTGTCCCTTTTCTCTAGCCTGTTCAGCGTTTTCTTACAATTACATGTGACCTGTAAAGTCATACCACATTTAAAATCTAAGTTGAAGAAATCAATTTTCAATAATTTCTACTTGCAAAAAAAAAAAAAAAAAAATCCGCTTACTCCCTACAAAATTTTTCCTTAAAACTCTGGGCTCTATTTTCCAGCCTGAGCTCCCGCACAGCATGTGTTTTCTCTTCTCCAATAGTAACCCTTCTGGGTAGAGCAGTGTTTTACTTGCAAATTAGTCTTCATGAACAGCAAGCTCTTTTATAAAGCAGGGTAAAATACTGGAAGGAAGATGTTTGAAGTGACAAATAGCAATTTGCAGAAGAAAATTGAAGTAAATTTTATTTGATTCCTTGCTATTTCCTCTATTTTGGAAAACTATCTTCTTCTGTCTTTATTAAACTGTATGTTTATTACTCTTGAATGAACAAAAATCTAGTACATGTTTTAAAAGCTCCTAGAGAAAATAAGACTTCCATCAAACAATTATTGTTTTTCAACATCATTTTGGGCAATTAGGCATAATGCTTAGAAACACAGACACTTATTTTTGGAGGTCATTGCACCAAACACCATACCAGTCTGGTTCAACAAGATGAACTGTTCCAGTGAACAGTTAGAAGGGTGAGTTTCAACAAAAAGATACTTCATAAATACACTAATGTAACATGGTATGACAAGGAAAGTTCTAAACTAGACAATGAATTCTAGCCTAGGTCTGCAATGGTAGAGCTATGTGGTTATGTTGAACTCATTAACTCTAATAGTGTTGTATTATTTTACAAAATGGAGATAATTTAGAAATACATAAGTCAACTAATAAAACAAATTTGTGAGGGTCAATTGACTTAATATAAGTTTTTAATATTGACTGGAAAAGTGTAAGCACTGAGTTCTTGTTTGCAACTACTACTAATAGGAAGCCTTTTTTGTTAAGTATAGAGGATTCTTGTGTTGAACTTTGGGGAAGACCAAAATTGAGTAGACAAAAAGACAAGAATATGTATTTCCTAACTATAATCATGCCAGAAGAAAATAAGCAAGGTGTTATGAGTCATATAATTAGAAAGATTAAAATAAGGATAAGAAATATGAATTAAAAGGGAAGATTTGGAGGAAATACTTTGTCATCTAAAGAATAGGTTTTATCTCAGTGTTGCATATTTTTAAAGATAAATCATCGAAACTTGATACATTTTGGCACTTTTTTGTTCTTATAAACACCTTGTGTAATTTTTTTTTTTGTAGCCTATCAACTAAGAGTGTGCCAACCTCCACCACCTGTAGCTAATGCTGAAATTTTGACAGAAGATGATGAATTTGAAATAGGTAAAGTCAGTTAAATGATTCTCAAAGAAAACTATAGTGTTATCAGAGTTACTACGTTAAAAAATAAATAAGAAAGAATACCAGTCTATTTTTAGTCCCCTTTCTTTGGATTGATGAAGATTGTTTCTAATTGTAAGAATGACAGAACAAAAACATGAAAGGAGTTACTTACAGGAAGTATGTATTCTGTTTTTCTCATACCTATTTTAGAAAGTAATATTGGAACTTGATCCACATAACTAAATTTTGAAGCTTGTACCCAAAGTACGTGCTCTAATTTAAATTCTATGTGTGTTCTCTGACTTCAAGATAAAGACTAACTCCATAGAACAATGATAGATGGATTCTATTAGAAGGCATATTTCATTTATATATTTTTGAAAATGTTGGTAGCTAATTGAGCTCAAAATCCCTTTAAACTGAGTTAATAATGCAATCCAGATAATGCTTCAGTGTCTGCAAAATGAGGCAAGACAATAAAATTCATTAATAAACTTTGCTGTTGTTATTGTCCTGATTTGGGTTATGACTCGTAAAACAAGTATTAGTGACCACTATGAGTCTAATTTTAATACAAAATTGATGAGTTGGAAGCCAACTACTTGATTAGGTTAAATGAATATCATACCTGCTCCAGTCAAATTATTTTTTTATGACTACTGCATGTTTCCAGTCAGTATCCACCAGTACAGATGGGTTAATAATTTACTGTTATCTTTGATTCCAATTGATTGTTGCCAATTAAGCACTGATTATTCAGTATGTTGAATATCAATGCTGCTTATAACTCATGGAAAGTTTAACACTGATTGAAATTGACTAAAATGAAAAGTGGATTCTGCTCTTATAGTTGAAATGTCTACTAATTTTTACCATTGCTTTCTTGTTTATTGTCATCTTTCCTTCCTCTTTTTTTTTTAAAAAAATAGGTGATATTATCAGATATCAGTGTCTTCCAGGCTTCACACTGGTAGGAAATGCAGTTCTGACCTGCAGGTTAGGAGAGCGCCTCCAGATGGACGGGGCCCCTCCAGTTTGTCAAGGTAACAATTTTTAATGGCTGCTTATTGTTAAGTACTGATGTTTCACTCAGTAACAAAAGACTGAAAAATCATCCATTTCACATCAGCACTGAATATTTAGCTGGCAGTATTGCTATGAAGTGTGAAACACATGTGGCGTTTTGCTTTGCAGCATTTCTCAGAATTAGCTTTAAATATCTTTGATGCTTCCAAACTTTAACATTTCTAAAGTATTTCAAATTCAGGCTAACCTGTTTAAATTAGATTTTCTGTGGGGATGAAGAAAAAGGCACATCACTTTAAGTAAAGCTCCTAGGTTAGTGACTTTTATATATAAAATATTTATCCTAAGGATTATATTCTTTAAACTTGATTTAGGCTACCTGTTAAGTGCAAAGCACAAGTTCTGTGTGGCCCTCCCTGTGAAGCTGTCATAGTGTAAGAGATGATCAACTCTCCACATGATAGTGAGGCAATGTTTAGAAAACTGAGAGGAAAATAATCTTTACCTGTGTGAAAATCAGACAAGTTTGAGAGTCATTGTTTCTTGAATTACAGACAGATCAATCAAATTTATTTTGATAGAATAGGGCTAGCAAAGGGCCCTTTGAGTGGCAGATGCGGTTGCAAATCGTGCACTTGAAAGAATTCACTACTGCAGGCTGCCTGAGGCAGGACCTTGAGGGACCCATAGAATTATCATGCTCAGACACTGTATCCTGATGATTTGTAGCCCAGATCAGTGCAAACACACAGCAACTAATCACACATATTGTTAATTTAAGGAAAATTGAACTATATTAAATTATCCTAGGCCTTATTGTCTTGGATTACTTCCTTTAGTAAGGTTTATTCTATGGAGTCTGTTTACCCACACATTGTCATTTATTTATTTCGCTTCTCGTTCAGTATTTTAACTGTTATGATAAGCTTAAGACAGAATTTTATTTATTATCTTAAAGATACCATAAATGAGATTAATCATTTGATTTTCTGTTTAATTGGAAGCCTCTTGATAAAAGGGATAATTTTCATAGGAAGTTTGTAAATTACAAAAAGGAAATAGGTTTGGAGGTATAAACCAATTCATTGAGAGACTTGCACATGATATAAGTCAATGCTACTAGAAAATTCTTAAATTTATTAGGTATTATGAAATCTACCATATTGTTCTGGATATGTGCATGTCAGTGATTCAGCTTTCTCCTTCATGCAAGACTGCTCTCTAACCAGATTGGATAGAATTCATCTTCGAGCGGTTAGATATGCAACTGGAAAAGATAGGGTTACTGTCTCTTAGGAGATAATACATTATAGACTAACTTGCACATACAAGGGAGATGTGAATCAGCAAGTACATAACATGACTTATTTTTTGGCTCCAATGTATAAACTACCGTGTGAACTCTTTAAAGGAAAGAATTGTTTGAATGTTTGGCTCTCCATGCAATACTTTATACTTTTTAAAATTGAAAAGAGGTAAAACAGAATTTCATAACAAAACAATCAGAGAGTAACAATAGTTAACATATTGCATATTGTCATCTTTCAAAATCACTACTCAGAATACAAAAGGGAGATCCATGCGATACTTTTTAAATTAAAATAAATAATATGGGTAACCTGGATATTTCATGAAATCTTGTTTTCTCAGTCTTTCATATATCCAAACTCAGAATTTTTTATAGATTAGTAACTATAACTCATATTAGTCTGTTGCTATGAAGAATGCAAAAATGATAATTACATTTGTGTCTTACAATTATACTTCACGAATCAATGTAGTTTCTATATTGAATGGACCAGGAATTAAAGCAAAGTAGCTGACTTCACACTTTTTAAAAAATCGAGTTAAATCACAGGCTTGCTCAAAGAATCGTTTGTTTGGAATCTTCAGGGACAGATTTACACTGTTGCACATTGCTGCCAGGCACCTGAGTTTGATTCTCGGTACCAACCAAAGGACCAACCAACAAACAAACCCAAATCTACATAGTTTTAGTCTCTTTAAAGTATTTTAGTTTTTCTATTTTTTTAAAAAGGTGACAGCGTTATTTGTGTTTTTTCAACTTGAAATCCACTTTAATTTTGTATATCTCACTTAGAGTGCTACAAGTCCAAGTATGGTCCTTCTTAGGGATGTCTAAATAAAGGAAATCTAGTAGCCAATTGTAGTTTGTTATTAAAAACATTGCCTCCACTGAATCTTTGAGACCAGAATTTTAAACTTTCTAGGCATCTATTTTCTTATATGTACAAGAAGAATAAAAATTATACATACTTGATCTTGGAATGTAGTCAGTGGTAAAATGCCAGCATGTACATGAAAGTCTAGCACGACAAAATTATGAAAATACTTTTAGAAGTTGGGATAGGTAATATATGCTTAAAAGGTTCTTAATACTGAACATATAGTCAATAAGCATTTCCTGTTATTCATTTTTGTCATGAAATTTCTTTTCTGTTGAGTAATGTTAGATAAGTGAATTTTGAATGTATGGTAAAGTACATTAGATCACTCCATTCATTTCAAAATGTCAGTCTGTGAAATTCAAAGTCAGAATTGTTTTTTTTAGGCGAAGAATGAACTGCTATTATTCTCATTTTTCTTTTGAATCTCAAAATAATATCCATGAGGCAAAATCTAAAGCTAAAGTAAAACAAAATGAAGCAAAGTCTAAAACAAAAGAAAATAGCTTAGATGCAGCAATACTTTATGAATCACCATATAATCAATTTTCAACAATCTGAAAATCAGTTTTAGCAAATTTTCTTTTCAAGTGTTTTCAGTTTGGTAACATGATTAAAATGCAATCATATACTACTATAATTCAGTATTTTTCTTGTATTTTTCCATACCTACTTTTCTTGGCAACTTTTTAACTCAGAAATATGAAATTATCTTTGCATGCTGAAAATTTTGAATGTATGAATTCTTCATATATTTATCTGTATCTCACCAACTATATTTGGTATTTCTAAGCCCTTCTATTTGAACTAATACAGTAAAATATTCTTCTTTAGGAGATTAATTATAAGATACAGTGAAGTCTGACAGTGGAGAAGTGGAAGTTTATATATTAATAGTTCAATCAGGAAATGATATAAGATGTGTTTTTAATTCATAATATTCCTCAACAAGGGGCAGGGATGTAGGAAAGAAGGAAGGATACAATAGGAAGATGTGATCATAATATGTAACATGCATGTATGGAAATGCCTAAGTTAATCCCACTAAGCTGTAAAGGTAATATACACTAAATGTTTCCTCATTCATCCATTCCTCCAGTTACTTAAGTGTCACAGAATACTCAAAATGCATTCTCTGGAATTTCAAATTTCTTCAGTAATGCTATACGCAGGACATTTTATTACAGCCACTTCTGTTCTGATAAATAGATTTTTCTGCCACTGAAATGAATTTTGTTTGGTATTTCTTTGGTTATATCTATACAGTGAGAGATGTTTTAAAGATTACTACATCCTGGAGCTTCAAATTCTTAAACAAACAAGTACTACAGTGATATCATTTGAGTAACAGAGTTTGATCGTCTTATTTATGTTATTGTTCCAAATTCAAATTTAGCATGTTTCCATTTTTTGTTCTAATATGCAAAGGCTACTGATGACAAAAATTAAAGTTCTTTGTACATCGGAGACTGTTAGAACCTAATTATATTGCTTTGCCAATATATAATAAAATTTTTCTGTATTTTTGTATATTTCTATTTATTCATGGCATATCTGATATTAAAGGAAGGTTAATGTGAAATAAGAAGAGCTTGTGCTTTAGTCTCCATTTAAGGGTTGGAGGTAGCGCCAGACTGATAGCTACTCAGGCACCTGATTGTGTGACGTCCTCGTAGCTGAAGCACATCCTTGACACCAGGGATGGCTTTGCCTGAAATGAATGCCCAGAAAGGAAAGTTTCCTGAACTACATGAGGGCTGATAAGACAAGTAAGGGAGACAAGGAAAGAAAGTATAAAACAAAGACATAGATAAGAGAGGCAGAGATGGGAAAACATAGGAACATAAGGAAAGGTTAGGGAAGAATGTGGAGAGATGGCAGGAAATGAACGCCTTATATGTTACTTATGGATTTATTGTCCGTAAGGTAGTATCTCTTCCATGCAACATAAAAGGAAAATTAGTATTAAAAAGTTTAGGTCCTTGTATTTTAGTTTACAAGGTGATTTTAATATGGTTTATGACAGATAACTCAAGATACCATTTTCTTCATAGTTATTAAACATGAAAAGAAAGTACTCAGTTCTTAAAACACAGCTTTCACCTGGGTTCTCACAGATTCTATTTCATGATGATTTTCTTTGACAGTGCTCTGTCCTGCCAATGAGTTACGGCTGGATTCTACAGGAGTCATCCTGAGCCCTGGATATCCTGACAGTTACCCAAATCTTCAGATGTGTGCCTGGAGCATTTCAGTGGAAAAGGGCTATAACATCAGCATGTTTGTAGAATTCTTCCAGACAGAAAAGGAATTTGATGTTCTTCAGGTGTATGATGGTAACCACGGGTTATATTTACTAAATGTTCATTAATTCAGTCCAAATGCTTTATTATACTTGGAGACCTTCAGTATAAACAAGAATTAATGTGATCATCTTTATTTTATAGGTATTATATAAGTGTTAACATTCACTACATACCATATGAGAATTTAAATCAGATTGATTATTAATTTTTTCAATCTGTAGTTACTTTGAAACATTTAAAACATCTCATATCATGCTTTCATACATATTGATGAAGAAGATTGGCCAAAGAGCAATTTAGGGATACATTGTGGTGCCAAAGACCTAAAATACTAAAAATAAATGAGAATTTTTAAATCATATCTAAATCATGTTATTTTCTTTCTCAAGGACCAAATATTCAAAGTCCAGTACTTGTTTCTCTCAGTGGAGATTATTCACCTGCTTTTAATATAACAAGCAATGGTCATGAAGTATTTCTTCAGTGGTCAGCAGATCATGGCAATAACAAGAAAGGCTTCCGGATAAGATACATAGGTATGAAATTCCTTTAATTTCAGCACAGATCTCACCAGCATCCTCATTTTGACCGAGTAAAGAACCTGGCCACTATCCAGTGTGACATGTAGTTAGATTGCACCTCCCTCACTGATGTTTCTTGCAAACTTTGGATAAACTCTGTAGTCCATTTTCACATTGTAATTATATTATATGTAATTTCACATCCTGCATATGAATTATCTAAAGCATTAAAAGTATATTATATATTTATGACTTCTCTGAGTTTATTACAAATTAAACTGAAAATTTTAATTATTTAACTGACTTTTCCCTGGGAACTATTGGTAAATGTTAACAGTGTTGCTCAGTTGTGTATTATTTGATCTATTTAATAAATTCTTTAGGGCTGGGGATATAGTTCAATGGCCCAGCGCCTGACAAGTGCAAGATTGTGAGCTCGATCCCTGATACCAAAAATGAATAAATAAATAAATAAATTCTTTAAATAACAAATTTAAACAAAAGCTAAACATACAATGTTGAATATGTTTAAACTATCTTTTTATGATATGCACTAAAACATTTAAAGTAGCATAACAGAGATGAATCTATTTAAAATATAATTATTGCCATTGCTTTTTATTGAATGATATTTAGAAAGCTGTGAGCTGTAAATTCTTTTTAATATCAGGGTGATTACAGCTTTTTCTATATATTTTCCTGTTTTCAAGATCACTAACCCTGAGCTAACAGCTCTGTTGCGTAAACAGATGTCCATAGTTTTCCACTGTGTAAAAGTCATATTTTCTTTGTTTATATCATTCTACATCACATTAGAAACCTAGGGGTGGGCTTAGTAGCAGAATACATCAGAAAAATCCACCATCTCTTTCTTGACAGTATTCAGAACCTGTCTCCTGTGCCACAGTTTACTACTGAGTTCAACTGAAATTCATAAATGATTTTTTTTTTCCCTTTTTTGGTACGAGAGATCAAACTCACGACCACGCACTTACCAGGCAAGTGCTTGAGCCTCTGAGCTAAATCCCAAGCCCCTCATAAATGATTTTAACACAATCTTTGAGAATAACAGAGAAGAATAAATTTTGAATTTTAATTCTAAAAGGCATATTCCTGAATTTTAAACATTTATGTAAGTTTTCCAATATTGGTGCAATGTACAAATAAAGTAATTCTGTTTATTTACCTTGACTTTAATACTATGACAGTTCAATTTTCACTTAATAATTTGTATTTTAGAAGTGAGAAGTAGCATCACTGATAGGATGTTACTAAAATACTTACGGATTTAATTCTACAATAAATTTCTATTCAGTTAAAGTAAAAATAATGAATTAAAAATTGAAATATATCTTCCACCATCCCGAATAATGTAGTATTTGGATGTATATTTTCTGAATGAAGGATGTAAGTGCAGTTTAATTAAAATTGTGTCCTAACCATGTAAAGATTAGCAAAATAAGCCACATTTGAAATGATTTTTGTAACTTTGAAGATGACATAATCTACTCGAACATGGTAAGTATTAGATTAGCTACATTATAGACCTATCCTTATTCATGTTAATATTCATGATAAAATTTGATTGTACATAAAGAAAACACCACTTTTAGCTACAAAAAACAGCTTGACATATTAAATATGTGTTTTTTTTTCTCAGAAATGACAGGTTATGACATATACATTTCAAGTCCAATCTGCTTCTCACTTCTTTACCCCTAAAGCTTCATTTTTCTCAGATGAATCTGTGCAAGTTTCAGAGGGTAAATGGAACCTGCCAGGCTGAATAGTCTCAGAAGTATATTTATGAAAAAGCTATTTGACATTATCTTTTGACATTTCAGACTTCAGGAGAGGAAAAAAGTTTTATTTTATTGGCAGTTTTTATCACCATATGTAAGTCCCTTTGACAGAATGGAAACTCTTTAATAGACTGGGACAGAGGATTAGGAAATGTAGGGCCTATCTGAGACACCAACCAAAATGAAATGCATGCCCCAGCATGATATACGGGACTGTGGAGCTAACTTCAAAGTGGCATGGATGCAGCATGCTCTAAAATACTGCTCTCAAGACGGAGGCACTGAGTCCCATTAAATAACACGAAATTCAGCTTCCAAAATTCAACAAATTGTCTGTAGGACGTTTGCAACTCCAGCTAGGAAAATATATTTCAATACAGAAGACATCTCAGGTGACAATAAAAATGAGAAGAAAGTCCAGAGGCTGTCATGTGTCCTACAATTAGATTATTCCAGAAGAGGGTTGCAAACCACATGAGGATTATGAGAACTAAAATTCACATTGATGACAGCTGACCCAGTTTGTTGTCCATTTGTGACTCGGTGTGACCGAGGATTTCTGATTCATTAACCAAGCAGTTTTCTGTTCATTTGAAAAGCTTTCTACTGCAGTACCCCGGACTCCCCACCGCATGGGTACATCATCAGTCAGACCGGGGGGCAGCTCAACAGCGTGGTGCGCTGGGCCTGCGACAGGGGCTTCAGGCTGGTGGGGAAGAGCAGCGCCGTGTGCCGCAAGTCCTCCTTCGGGTACCACGCCTGGGACGCGCCCGTGCCCGCCTGCCAAGGTGACGTGTCTTGTGCTCCAAGTCATAGAGCCATGGATAAAACAGCTATCTCACTTAACTTTTCATTACAACTCCTGACGATTCCCCCAAATATTCACATTCAGAAGCATGTCAGGGACTACTGTACTGAAATCGAGGTGCTAAAACCAGAATGCTAAATGAAAGGGGAAATTAAAAATAAGCTTTCATGCTGAGTGAGTAATATCCTTTTTGCTTTCCTCTTACCTGTGTACATCTGCCATTAGGTATACTTTGTTTACAGACAGTTACCTAATAGGGATGCAGACTGAGCTCTTGAGATATTTTCAGATCAGTAGTAGGGGATACTATGGGAAACTACATTGCACACTGAATTTCTCTCAGAGTGTGTAAAATTATGCACTTAGAGGAACAAATTTAAAGAAAAAAATGTGATCAACCATGTGTTTGGTTTTCTTCACGATTTAGCCAACACAAGAGGGATATGGCTTTCATTTTCATTTGTATTTGTTAAAAATCAAATCCTATCAAGTGCTGGGTCTTGCTACAGAAGACAAAATGGCACGCTTTTTAGAGCTTTTGTTTAGGACTTCCTTTGAAAAGAGATTTGACTACTTGAATCTGTGCTAGCTATGGTCATAAAGACATGTTCAACCTCAATTACACACGAAAACTAATGTTGCTGGGCTTTGAACAATTTTGATATTTGTGCTCACATCAGAATATTTCAGATTTCCTGAAATCTTGAAATTGTTTTGTGAAATCGTTCATAATTTATTGAGTTTAGGTACATTTTTACATACAGAGTCATTATTCTGGATTTATATTTTTCCATAATTAGAATAGGGCAATTCTGAGTGACAGTTTAAAGGATATTTAATGAAGTAAAAATATAAAATATGCATTATTCAAGCAGTATTTACAAAAGTTGATCTATCATTATCATTGAAACCATTTTGAAAGATTATTTTATTAAAAAAAAGTTTGGAGATACGTGACCTATCTCTTTGGACACAGATAATTTGCATGTCAGTAGGAGTAGCTATTCATATAGCCACAGATTTTAAATCCTAATTTGTTTTATGTTCTGCAGTCAGTTTGCTCATCTTGCATCTTTAGTCTCCTTATACATCCTCACATGTATTTACTGGGGTGAATGAGCGTGGAATATAAGCACAATTAAAGACAGTCTGTCACTTTGAATTCCCTGCTGGTTTTTGCTTGCTGAATGTTCTGTAAAAAAGCCTCTTTGGCGACTGTTTGTTGATGATTGTTCTCAAATTCCTACTTCCTTCTTCTCCTCCCTCCCTCCCTCCCTCCCTCCCTCCCTCCCTCCCTTTCTTTCTTTCTTTCTTTCTTTCTTTCTTTCTTTCTTTCTTTCTTTCTTTCTTTCTTTCCTCTTTCTTTCCTTGTTCCTGAGAAGTTAGGTTTTAGGTGGTCTCTGGCAAAGCCCTTGGTGCTGTCATTTTACTGTGGTGCCTTTTTTTTTTTTTTCAGCTCTAAAATAGAAACAGTTTAATTCTAAACATATGCATGGGACTTATGCTCTAAAACTGCATTTATTTTACCTGCCTCTAGCTTAAACTTATATTACTCAACAAGTTATAGCGATTTTTTTTAAAGTCAGTATATACATGATCTTTGATGGTGGTGTGGTGGAGAGTTGGTTTATTACAAATTGAAATTCCCAGAACAACTAAGTGAAAATACAAATTTAGCTTTAATAAACATCAGGGAACCATTTACTTTTGCAACCCTATTTTAGAGGTTTTATAATTAGATATCAGGGATAATAACAGTTATTTGAGATTGCTTACATACTCTATTAAGTCAGGTTTACTGTTTTGCGTTCATATTTTCTGGTTTCCAAGTTACAAATATCAAACTGTTCAGTAGTAAAGATTTTAATGCTCAAATTAAAAAAAAATCATTATTTCACTAAGGTTTTTCTGCTTTATATTCAGTTCACATTATTTTAGTATGAATTAAACATAAATATTATGTTGTATAAGAGATTGAGGAACAATTTCAGCTTAAAATGGGTATACAGAAAACAAAATATCCTGAAATAATCTTACTTTTTATATATGAGGAAAATATATTTAGAATCTTTAACATGTAACTTGTAAGACTAATTGTATTTCCGAATTCAGAAACTTTCTGATTTTAATAAAGTAATACGATACAGTATATCACATATACATTAGTTCTAATTTGACTTGAGGTGGCATATTCAAATACATGAATCTGACTGCAAAGATATGTCTAAGTATTTCCTGTGAGAACATTATACAGGAATATTAACAAAGTTTCTTTAATTGGTGTATTGAAGCCAAATACATTCTTTGGAAGATTATATGTTTATTATCTTAGGAAATGTGATGCAAAACCTGAAAACAAGTATTTTTAGATTTTGTGTAGTCTTTTAAACTTGTACAATAAATGTGAAAATCAAATGTATTATAGATTAAAACTAAGACATCTCAAATAAATTAATGAAATTTGGGAAAATCTTAAAAAGATTCTAAAATAATTAAGAACTGGCCATATATTTATCATACACATCCAGTACATAGAAAAATCTAAGCATGATGCCCAAACACATACATTTCAGTATACCTATAGTAAGTAGCTTTCAAGGAAAATAAATCTATTTACTTTATTCTTAGTTGATGAGTATCGGTTGCCAACTTTTCACAATCATTAATAATTGTCTTTAAAATTGAATTAACTAGCCTTGCTAATGATTGTTCAATAGTAAGTTAGAACTAGTTGTGCTGTATATTTATCTAACTTATATTTTTTTTTATAATCAGTGTGAAGGTTGATAAACAAGCACATAATGAAAAGAAGAGATAAAAAAGTAAAAGCATGTACAATATATAAAAACTCACTAGCTTAGACATACAAGAACTTATTAAATTATTAAGCATGTGTGGTTCAGAAAACTTTTCTGTGTGATATAGTCTGAAATTCTTTCAAAGGAATTGATCAAATACTGTTTTGTACTTGTTTTAGTGTTTACAGATTGATCTAATAAATTAAATGTTTCTTGTTTCCATAACTAGTATACATGTTTTATTTTAGCAATTTCCTGTGGCATTCCTAAAGCACCAACAAATGGAGGGATACTCACAACAGACTACTTGGTAGGAACTAGAGTTACCTACTTTTGTAATGATGGATATAGATTGTCATCCAAAGAACTCACCACTGCTGTCTGCCAATCAGATGGGACGTGGAGCAATCATAACAAGACCCCTCGTTGTGTTGGTATGTGTGTTATGGAAATTTAATCAGTTACATTTCCATTGGCTTTCCATTTCTTGTATGATTTGAAATTACATATATTGTTGAATTTTTAAAATACATGTCATGTCTAAAACAGAAAATTAATGACAAAGTACTGGAAGACAATAAGGGGATTTTTCACTTGGGAACTACAGATTGTTATGTGAAAAAATGCTGCAACTTCATTTTATATTACAGAGTTTTCATTTATTTTGTGAAAAGTCATCCATCAAACAATGTGTGCTATCAATCCATAGATTTTTGGAAAATTTTTAGTTTGCATTAATAAAATTATATTTCACTGCAGTCAACTCTGATTTTTATAAAGACAAATGATACCCCTGAACTGATCCAGAACGTTCGACTTTTGTTAGTATTCTTCAGTAGTCTGAATATATCTTGTTATTGTTATTACCACTGGCAGAGGTGAATGAATATTGTGCAATGATAATAGAAATTAATTGATAAATCGGTAGCAAAAGAAACAGGATAGACTTAACACCTTTAATTTTCTCTTTGTCTTTTTTTTTTTGTATTTCCATGTAGTGCTAACATTTTAATGTTACTGTGATTTCATTTAAAATGCAGGTTGTTAAATCATTTGTAATTATCTTAGGTGTGTATTAATGCTTCTGCTTATGTTGAGCAAGTTTTTGAAACAGCCAAGGTTCATATCACACCTGTTTCAAGAAAAGGCCATTCCAATCAAACAAATTTCCTGAAAATATAGTTCTTCCAAAACATCTAAAGAAATAAATTAGTAGCAGTAAGGGCTGTAATTGGGTTTCTAGGTAGGTAAAATAATGTGCATATAGACTAAATGATTTGCGAAACAGCAGGTTATGTTCAAGGAGCTGCCAGAAGTAACATACTGCTGGAAATGGAAATGATTAATGAGGAAAAAACTAAATAACAAATGCTAAAGCACCTTGTGTGGCATAACCGTGAACAAATTAAGGCAGTCGAGAAGGTTTGGAATACTGGTGAGCTAGAATTAAGAGGTGGAGCAGAAATGATTGACTTATTACTATTTGTGTTTTTGGTTTTGTATAGTCGTTACATGTCCAAGCATCAACTCTTTTACCTTGGAGCATGGGAGATGGAGAATTGTAAATGGTTCACATTATGAATACAAAACTAAGGTAGTTTTCAGCTGTGACCCCGGTTATCATGGACTAGGTCCTGCTTCTATTGAATGCCTTGCTAATGGTACTTGGAGTTGGAGAAATGAAAGGCCATACTGCCAGAGTAAGTATGCAGTCTGACAAAGTGATTTCAACTGATTTCAGAAGCTATTCTTGGTCATTGAATTGTTTAAATAATTTTATTGCCTAAATATTATGGGCCGGTAATGAGATTTTTTTGTGTGTGTATGTGGCAGGGCATGGGACATTACTATGTTGTCCAGGCTAGCATCAAACTCCTGGACTCCAGCAATATTCCTGACTTAGTCTCCCTACTAACTGGGGCTATAAGCATTGTGCCACCTTTCCCAATCACATAATATTATAAATATGACTTTATTTTCATTATATTTTAATGTCTCATTACTATGTTCTTAGTAGTAAATGTTTATAAAAATGGGTTTTGAATTCAGAAATGTACATGAAATCTAGATTTATCATTTACTATGTCAACTGGATAATTTTTTGTATACTTAATACTTTTACACTGCTTTTAGAATTTTATTTTGTATGGTACTCATTTAGTCAAAAAGGGCACTGAAATTTAATCATTTTACACAAAGCACAGAGTCTACAAGTGATGGAAAATTGGTATTGGACCTAAGCAATCTAATAACCACACTTGGCTTTTGATTTTTTAAACTGGAAAATTCATAACTCATGATGTGCTGATTTTGTAGTAACACATATTTGAAATGCCTACTTGAACCAGATTACTAAGGAGCTAAGTAAATATTATTGAATCAAATTAACAATTGAGTAAATTGAATAGTTAAATAATTGAACAATTATTTCTACATATTCTTGTAATATAAATGGCTGGAGACTACCGTTAGCAGGCTAATTTGATGTAGGATATTCAGATGTTACACCTGGAAGTCCACTAAACCTTCTTCACTTTAATTTTTTTGTTTCCTTTGTCTGGGAAATATGTTAAGCTAAAATTTCAGCCTTTTAATTTGTATCCAAAATAATTCTATAGCGTGTAGATCATCAACATCATAATTTATAGGTAATCTAATGAAGTAATCAAGAATCTAAAGTGACAATGGCTTGTAGTTTTAAGATAGCAAGCAGTTATGATTCTCTGTAATAAGTATGCAGGTATATGTTGTTATTTTACTTGTGGATATACTGTGATTTGCAATTCATTTTCTTATTGTTGTCTTTTATTTTTATTTGTTTGCACTGGAAATCAAACTCAGGATTCTGTATTTGCCAGGCAGGCACCTGTGCCACTGAGCTATATCCCCAGCTCTTGTAATTCACTGTCTTAGCCTCTGTGTCAGCATAGCACTTTTTGATTGTTCCATTGTAAGATAACCATATGACAAATTAAAATCTTAAAAACTGATTTCTAAACTATATATTGTATAATCTCACTCTATATTGCAGATTTTCTCTCACATTTTTCTCTACCTCTGGCCTCCTTACCATTCCTTATAATTTCATTAAAAGGGCACATATAAGAAAGATTTTCCAAAAATTTAGGGAAAAGTTCCTGTATGAGATACATTCATTTAACCAAAAAAATTATGAAATCTTTTTTTTTCCTATTTCCATTGTGCCTGATCCTCTGTTTCCCAGAAGGATTTAAGTGATGTAGAAGTTTTGGTTAACAACCATAATTAGCACTAGGTAGACACAGGGAATCTGAGATTTGCCATTCAGTGAAGCACTGAAAAGAGCAACAATTATTCTGATCCTCCATTTGCTCATCTTTGAAATTAAAACCATAAATATGAATGTTATCAGTACTAGCACATTATTGATACCAATAGCTACTTTAAAAGATCATTTTTGTCTGTCTGAGAGTGTCATGCTATACTGACTGAGCTAGCTCGGCAGCTATATTTTTGTTTATTTAAGAGCAACCTAAAACTTAGGGCCAAAAGCGACACTTTGAGCTGGAATGAAGCCTTATGGGCTAATAGTTACGTACAGCATTCTGGAGTTAAGTTGTTGGTTTTAAATGTTGTTAGCAATTTATAACTACCTAAGTGCATGTATTGTTCTAGAATAAGCACTCAATAAACATTCTTAGCTGTTGCTTGTATTCTATTTTTGTTTTTATTCTAGAATGACATGTCATTGTAGTCTTTACATACAAGGAAGTCATAAGAAATAGGTTCTGAATGACTGAACAAATCAGCTAATATATCTTCATTTTCTAAAAACTATGATATTAAATATGTGTGTGATGAATTTTGAGAAAATCAAATAATTTATGTGTACACTTCCTTATAGAGTCCTTGACAAAGTTTATTTATACTTACTATGTTTTAATTGGTTGAAATCTGAAAAAGCTTTGGTTAAAATATGTGATTAAAAGGGCTAATCCAATGTCAACTGACTACATTAGATAAACTTTTTGGACTAATGAATTACCCTCTTTTTAATCTTCTATTGTCATTTTACTATAACCAAGTTAGTTAAGTAAAAATTGAAAACGAACGGATGAATGAAAAGCTTCAGCACATGTGATGATCAAGTGGAAGGTTTTATGGCAGCTCAAAGGGGCTTAATGTTAACCTCATTTAAAAGTTATACATTGTGTACATCTATCAAACTGTTATTTATTCCTCCATCAATATTTCTAATTTTTATGTTTTATGTAACAGTTAAAACACAATGTAATACATTTTAAAAGAGGGTAGATTTTGAATTGCATCACCTCTTTACACTTTCAGATTCAGGTATATGTTGCAAGTTTCAATTTCAGCTGTAAATGTGTCTCTCATAGGGATCTCAAGATGTTATAGCATGGTTTTGTTACAAGTGCATATTGACAATGTCTTTAAGGGTTTTCACTTATTATTTTTAAGTTATTTCCTGTGGAGAACTACCTACACCTCCAAATGGAAATAAGATTGGAACTCAAACTTCATACGGCTCAACAGCTATTTTTACCTGTGATTCAGGATTCATGCTTGTGGGCTCTGCTGTGCGGGAATGCCTTTCCTCAGGTCTTTGGAGTGGATCTGAAACCAGATGTTTAGGTACAGATGTTTAATTCATTTTTCTCAACCCCCTACCCAAGCACCCTCATAGAAAAGCACTGGAGTGGAGGCAAATGTCCCTCCCTGATGTGAGATGGTAACTTCTTTTCCTTTAATAGGGATACAAAAAAATCAGAAAATACTTAACTAAAAACGGATCACAGGATAAAAACTACTAAACCAGTAACTCTCAGGTAATTAACTTGCATTTCTAGTGAGAATCATGTCGTTAAGGAGACATATTTTCTTCCAGGCATGGTGAAAACAAACAAACAAAAAAACCTCATTGCTGAAAATTTTATGTTTGCATACTCAGTTTGATTAATCACTGTGACAGTTCATTCATTCTGAACCATAGTAAATTCCCCTCCTCAATTTGCTTAAGGTAGTGACTGAAGAAGGAAAACAACGTCGACACATTTAAATTACCTTCCCCTTTTTTATTTTATAAGATTCCAACTTGTGTGGAACTATTATTCATTGAAAGTTTAAAAAAATTGTTTTGAATGTAATTATAGGCAAGTAGGACTTTTTCCCTTTGGGTTCTCTGAATGCATTGTAAAAACTTGTTCAGTAAAAGACACTGAGCAATACCTATATCTTTTATCCTTCCCTTTTATTATGAAAAGAATATTTTGGTTCATTCTTCATATCTTTTGTAGTGACCTCACATTTTTTTTTTTTTTTTTAGTATTTAGAAAACAGTATGATTTATGCCATACTGTTTCTGTAAAATAGTTTCAAGATATGACAATCTGCATTGAATTAGATAACTATCTTAATTGCTTTAATGATTATTCAGTTGTCTGTTGGATCTTTCCTTCACTAATTTAATGATTGGTAGTTGTAACAATATTTTATTGCAAAATTTGTACATTTTTTTCTCTGAGAAGATGGGAATAGGACACCTGAGAGAAAACCTATACCTCAGCAATTTAAATCATATAATTTTGCTAATCAATTAGAAAATATTCTTGCTAAAATCACTTTTTGAAACTTGTGAAGGTTTGCTAAAAGTTTGTGTTAGTATTTCTTTTTTTCTTTCTTTCATAGGTACATTTGTTAATAGGTATACTGGCAAATCCAGTAGCAAACACTGTAGCTTCTTTACAAGAACAAGCTTATTTGAACATTCTATAAAACATGTAAAAAAGAAAATAGTAAATACATCAAATCATGTGTTGGTTTTTTAAATATTCAAATACATATTTTAGTATTCCTACACAGATTTTGACTGGTTTCAATGAAGGAATACTTATTTTGAAAATTTATATGTTCAAATACTATATTTATTGCTATATGTTTTGATAAACTATCACTGTATATCATATTGAATGTTATTTATTGAGTGTTGTATATATAATATGTGTTTTTAGTCATCTATTTAGAATCTTATGTTCTCTGTAAAGTCAGGCTATAGCCAGTATGTATGGGCAAATATTGTCCTCCAGCTTATGAAGACAACGTTCTGTTGTAGAGATCTTGGTGTTGATATTGAATATAAATGTCACAGCGTGTGGTAAGGAGAAAAACACACTTTCAATCAATCAAATCCTATGATTTTGTGCTTGGGATGGACTTAAGGATTCAGTCATTCTCAGCTTACCTTTGCAGTCCATGACACTTTCTAGTGACTTAGAATGGCCACTAGAACATGCTTAACATTGTTCTATGCACAGTGCATTTATTCACAAGGTCGTAACATTTTATTGAGTTGTTTAATTGAAAGAATAATGAACAGTGAATACTCATATGTCTCCTACCCAAATTTTAAAACTCATATTTCATCATAGTTGCTTATCACCTTTTTTTTTCTCTTTTTTTAGGCTTCTAGGAAATGCATTTTAAAATGCATTTGGAGTTATTCAAATCCATGCTAAACATTTCAGTATCAGACTCATTAGTTATAGATCAATATTTGCTTATGGTTTATATTTCCTGTATCATTGTGGCAAAATTTATATATAGTCACAAATATATTTTTACAGCATTTGAGTTTGATGGATATATATTGTCTTAGTTACTGTTCTCATTTCAGGGACGTAATACTAAACACTCAAAGTTAAAGAGGGAAAGATTTATTTAGCTCACAGTTGTAGAGGCTTTGGTCTATAATGGTTGGCTTCCAGGCAGGATGGCATGGCAGAGGGTGACAGTTCATGGTGCACACAAGGCAGCAAAAGCAACTAAGTGGGGAAAAAAGGCTCTTTGGGTCCCTTATATATGCCATGTAGGTTTTATGTAGTATTCACACCCTTAATCCTAGCCGGAACTCTGACAAACAATCAGTAGACTGATTTTCCTAACCATACACCCTTAATCCCAGAATCACACACTGTAGATTCAGCCACTTCTGAAAAAGCCCTATGACCGCATGAAGCTTGGGGGGACACCTAGACACGAGCCATATTATGCACTCCTGTTTAACTCAGCATTCTAATAATACAGAATTTGACCATCACTTCACTAAGATTCCTCATGATGCTGCAGATCTGCAACTATCTTTTTTCTCAACCTAAGTAGCTGTTTGAATCTTTTTACCATATTGTCTCATATGTAATATTTTCTGTGTATAGTTTCTGTTCTAGAAATGTAGAGTAGTGGAATCCTGAATTAGGTACTGTTTCATTTCTTTCATGCTCCCTCTCCCATACTGTTGTATCTGTATTATGTTCTCTTTATTGCTGAATGAAGTTCCATTATATGAACATGGCATACATCAGCCATTCTCTTCTTGGTGGACTCCAGAGCATTATCTAGTTTTGGCCCGCTTTGAACAAAATTGTTCTGAATATTTCTTTCTGTACTATTCTCTTTGTTGTGATTACTCAGGAATAGAATACTAAGGAGATGTCCGATTTCTTCTTGCACGAGGTTTTAACTTGTATTGTTTCAGATTTCTGATGTTCAGCACAGTTTTATGGACTTACTAGCTACTTACAAATTTTTTTTTCATTGTGTTTTTAAGTACCACATTTTTAGTTGCACTTTAACTATGAATTGCAGTTTTTAACACTCTGATTATATCATTATGTATTTTATAGGTATTCCCTCCCAATTTGACATGCTTATTCATTTATAAAAATAGTGCCTTTTGATGAACAGGAATTTTGAACTTTGGTAAAGTTTGTGTCTTTGTTTTCTCTCTTAGAATTAATCTGCTGAACTGTAACAAAAATATGTAGTGAGTTTGTGATCAGTATTGCACTGAATCTGTAGATCAATTTGGAGTTAGCACTTTACAATATTGAATTATTTGATCTATGAACATAAATAGATATTCATTTATTTAGATCTTTAAATGTTTGTACTACATATATTTTGTAATGTTAGCACAGAGATCCTGGGTATTTAATGCTAAATTTCTTTCCCAGAATCTTTCACTATTATAAACTAAATTGTATATTTATAATTATATTTCAATTTGCTACCAGTACATGAAATATAGCCATTTCAAAATATTTGTCCAGAATCTGACAATCTTCTAAATTCACTTAATCATCCTAAATTTTTATTAAAATAGAATTTCTTACACATGTCCTGTGAGCATAGTTTTGGCTCCCCTAACCCAACTTTATGCTTACTTCCTGCCTTTTAAAAAGCATATCACACTGGGTAGCACCAAAAGAGCAATGTTGAATAAAACTCATGCGAGTAAACATCTTTGTCTTATTTTATATCAGCAGGAAAGCATTCAGTATTATACTGGTAAATACGTTAGCAAAAAAATTTTATGTGTTTTTTCACATTAAAAAGTTCTGTTTCTGTCTAATATTTTGTTAGCTTTTATCCTGAATGCATACTAAAGTTTTCCAAATGCTTTTCCTGCATGTTTTGAGACACTCACATAGATTTTGTTCTCCTTTACTCTGTTAATAGGGTAAATTACAGTGCCTGGTTTTCCAACTTAAACCAACTTATCGTTTGTGGATAAACCTTAGATAAGTTGGTTTAAATCATGGTATAATTTCATATTTAAAGCTGCCATCTTAATTTTCTAAACTTTTGTTGGGGAATTTTGTTTTTTGGATAATAAAGGACATTGCTCGTTTTCATGCATCTTAGTTTTTACCTTTGGTCTTACGGTTGTCTCAAAAGGAGTCAAGAAGTTTTTTTTTGTTGTTTTTTTTGTTTTTTTTTTCTGTTTTTTTTTTTTTGTCTTCTATCTGATAAAAGGTTTTGTAAGATTTGTATTTTTCTGTCCTAAAAATTTGAAAGTTATCAATGTCTTTTTTCATCCTTAAATATTTTATTTTATCAGTTTTATACTAGAAGTTTTCTGTTATATGATTCAAATAATAAGCATAAAACTGTTCTTATTTTATCATATTTTATCATATTTTAGTTTTGGAAAGTTATAATTCTAAGGGAATTTGTCCTTTTCTTTTGAACTCTTAAACATATATTGGCATAGAGATATTCTCAGTGTTCTTGATGCTGTTAGTCTCTAAAGGCCTCGTGCTATTGTCAGTCCATTTATTCTTGTTACTTGTAATTTTTTCTCTCCTCTTGTGTGCTGATTAGGTTCAGTGGGAGGTTAAGGATTTTGTTAACATAAGAAAGAACTTTCGCCTTAATTTGTGTTTTTAATGTTTTGGCTTCTGCAATTATCTTAAATATTTTCTTCTGTCTACTTAATAGAGTTTTATTTTGTCTTTTTTATTTTGCTTCATTCTGTACTCTTTTAAACACAAAATTTTGAGACCTTTTAATTTCATAAGAGAACACTTAACCCTGTACATTATTTACTAAGCATTGTTTCGTCTATATTTCTCAAATGTTGCTATCTTATATTTCAGTTTTATAAATTGAAATGTTCTATAAATTCTTCTAGACCTGAGTCAGTAGTGTCTTTTAATTTCCAATTGCTTGCTGTTTTGCAAAGCATCTTATAATTACCTCTGTGTCATATAATTGTTTGAATTATTTTGCTTAGTAAATTTTGAAAGTTTAGTAAAATTGTGCATGTATATAAATATACAAAAAACCATAACATACTGAAAATATTATATTAACTAATTTTAGCAGGTCACTGTGGAATTCCTGAACTCATTGTGAATGGTCAAGTCATTGGAGAAAATTATGGGTACAGAGACACAGTTGTATACCAGTGCAATCCTGGCTTTCGGCTGATTGGTTCTTCAGTGAGGATTTGCCAGCAGGACCACAACTGGTCTGGTCAGCTCCCATCCTGTGTGCGTAAGTAAGCATGGCAAAAGTATTCCGGGCCTCTGGTCTCATGCTCTGGTGAAAAATTGTTTTATAATTGAGATAAATAAATTTATTTGTAACAAATATATGACAACAAAAGTGAAATCTCTATGATCCACTTTTATAAATGCTCTGTAACAGCCTTTAAAGTGGAATGTGTTCAGGAACTTGTGATATCATACAGAGGAAGTGGAGGAAACTATTAGAATTTCTATTCTAGTAGAAAAGTTACTATGTTTTCCACAGAGATGAAAAATTAAACTCATATAAATAAACTCATATTCATAAGTGAGTATATTCTAAAGGTGCTTCTCAACACATTTTTAATCATAAAAAATAAATTTTATGACTTCCTGGTACAACGTCTTGTCATATGATACTACGGAGCTTCTAATAGTAGAAAATACTTGTGATAGGGAAATACTTCCTAATAATTAGGATGCTATAGTTATCACACAAAATCAATCTCTGATGAAATACAATTACTGAGGAAAAAGTCAGCAGAGAATATGTGAAGAATTGTTCTCATTTAAGTTCCATTGCTAAATATGTGAGCTGAGACAAATCATTTACTCTCTCTGGACTATAATTCCTTTATAAAGAAAGCAAATGTATAAAAGTCTATACTGTTATGGCCTTATTTCAATTTAAAATCCATATTATGAAATAATGTAGCTATAGTATTTAGTATAATGTAGTATAATATTTAGTATTACAGCTATAATAGTTATAATATTTAGCTATAATATATAGCTATATATAATAGCTATACAACTTAGTATAATATATGTAGTAGAATATTTAGCTATAATAAATGACTGAAATATTTTAAAAGTCTTTTATAAGTTTATGGTCAAACACTTAGTTAAACTTCATACAAAACTTTAAGGCTACATATCCTTTTAGAAAAGATCATGGCTTTTCAGCAAACATCTAAGCATCTTTTAATCTAGATATGAATTCATACATGAAAATTAAGACAGACTTTGAGATAACATCTCTTGGATTTCTAAATATACCTGCTGTGCTTTGTCATTTGGACAGGTCTCCCTGTGCATGTCGTACATGTTTCTTTGTATGCCTATTATTTGGATTTTTATTGAATATTTATGTGTTATTTATTTGTTTGCTATCATTATTGTTATTTTGAGGATACATGACAGCCTTCCACACAGACAGAGAGGCATTACGGGCACAGGAAAATCAGACAGAAAGGGAACAGGGTATGGAAACGCAGGCACGGGGTGAGCATTGTGGTTTGACTAACAGCAGGACGAAGTGCGGTCCCAGAGATTTTTGGGACACAAACTCTGCATGGATGATGACAAAAGAATTTCTTCATTGTCATGGCCTCTGTTGTCATTAACCATGAATTAGTAAACCCAAAATGCAAGACTTGATTTGAAAGTAAATTTTTCTCTTTCATAAGAATCGTGGTCCCTTACTGACCAATGTGGTGAAGGACATTTATCCTCCAAAGTTCTTTATGTTGTACAGAGCTTGCTCTTTCTCACCCCAGCAGTGGCTTCTAGAGACAAACCCAGAGTTTATGTATGTTAGGTAAGATTCTACCCCTTGAGGGCCCTGGCTGGAGCTCTTTCCTGCCCTCACCTCCTCTGACCTTGTCCCTGGAGCACTAAAGCAGACTGGCTGTTGGGCATTCAGTGAGGAGGAGACCTTTGCCCTGCTTCTTTCCTAACCCCCTCGGGCCTTCAGACTTCTCTTGTGTGTGGAGAGACCATTCAGTCCCATTAGCTGTGTACCCCAAAGGAGTACCCAAAACACACACTTTCCCAGGATCTGTTGTGGCCGGGCTTCTGGTGATGATCCGGACTGCAGTGGTCACATTCACTTGTCACCGTCCTCTGACGGGAGCCCATTCTGATTTCATGAAAAAAGCCTGCTGTAGGACACATGTCATTACTAATCAAACCTGCTGGCTCTAGTGTACCATGTGTTCATTATGAGTTATATTTGAAAAGTACAAATATAATTGAATAATGATGACTCCCATACATTTTCTTATTCTACCAAATGCTCAGAAGTACACAGTATTTCAGACTATAATTTATTGTCTTAAAACTTATTGTTGGGTCTTAAAATTAAAATACACATGTATTTCTGTTTTTCTCTCTCTAAATTCCATCCTGAATTGTTGCTATTTTAAAACTTTTGTTTAGTAGATAACAACAAATATTATAAATATGTCATAATTATAAAAGAAAAATGGATAGAGATTGTGGAAACTACAGAAATTGTGGAAGCTAATATGTTATATTTTTATGTAGGTGGAGAGTACATATTTCACTTAATACATGACTAATTTAACTCATATTGAAAAATTCTTTTGTTGTCAAATTTTGATACAAAGTACCAAATTTTGTTAGAATTCTAATTTCATGAAAAATACTTCTGTGTGTTGTGATAACACGGTAATGTGTTTAGAGTTACCAGAATCACTTTTCTAAGATGTATGCACATGCACACGTTACTGGACTATCTGATGACTTATGGACAATAATATCTCGCTTGGGTTTGTCCTAGGCATTTTACTTTTCATTTATACTCAGGGATAATCACCTAATAGTACTGTTTCTTCCCAGTGAATAATTGAGAGTATTAATGAAAATTGTTCCTTGGAGTAAAACCTGTTTCTCTATTGATAATTTTAAAGAAGATGAAATGTTGTTAAATTTCTAAATGAGGAGGCTGACATTAACAATACAGCTGAGAAATAATTGTTCTCAGGGTCATTTTGAAAGACCCAGAAGTTACTGTGGTCTTTCACTGCACCCAATTATAAACCACTGCTCTGATTAATAGAGTGAGATGATACAATAAAACAGTTCATAGAATCCAGTGTTTGGGGAGAGGAAACACTACATAAAATTTATAGCAGGAGTGTAACATTAAAAGCACCCAGGTAATTCATCTGAGAATGTGATTTCCAAGCAAAATTGTGTTAAATTATCAAATACTAAGAATGAAGTAAATAAACCGGGGGGATTAACCAGTGTGAAGAATATCAAAACTCATACCTCCAAATATTAATGAGAATTCTTCTGCAGCCTGTTAGTCTTTGAATATTATCCTTGTGTGGTCAGGTGAGTTTAAATTTCAAGCTTATCAAGCTATTTTTCATAAAATTGATTGTGTAAATAATATTTAAGGAACAATTTCAAAATTGTGCTTTCAAGTACCCTCAATTCCTAAGCTAGAAAAAGACAGCCTGTTAAATTTTGGACTTGCTGTGATTCACTAGTCACAAGAACTTCAGTCATTCCCCAGATTTCCTTGCAATTTTACATTTATCTGTAAAAAAATTAAAGAGAATGAAGTTGGTACTATGAAACTTAGAATATGCAGAACTACTTATATAAAACTCATAGTTGTACATCATTCATTTTACTAATATATATCTCTGGTTAAATATTATTTGTATTGTTTCTTTGTAGTTTATGCTTTTTCACTAGTACAAATGCTTTGCATAATTATCAACGAATAAGGTGAAGTTTCTACCTGATTTGAAATGATTAAGTTTCACTGTCAGGTGATGATTGATAGCTAAATAATTTTTCTGTCTGTTCTCTCACACCCGTTGATGCTAGCTGTTAGCTGTGGTCACCCTGGTAGTCCAATTTATGGAAGAACAAGTGGAAATGGATTCAACTTTAACGATGTGGTGACATTTTCCTGCAATACTGGGTACCTCATGCAAGGGCCCACCAAAGCACAGTGCCAAGCAAACAGGCAGTGGAGCCATCCTCCGCCGCTGTGCAGAGGTAAAGGTCTGCCGTGAATGGGTTTGAGGCGTGCACTAATGTATCTGTGTAAACAATGGTGTGCATTTGGAACAGCGTGGGAGGAAAGTATTGAAAGCAAAAGCTATTGAACTATTGAAACTCAACTTTCGAAGCCAAATTATCATTTTGTATACTTTCCCCCTTGTGATTCAACAGAAGTTTAGATGATAACTTTTTGAAAATCCGTACTCAGCTTAGTTATGCTGCTGCCATTGTCAGAAAATTTGTCAAAACTTATTCTTCTTTTCTATATTTTTAACCATATTGATTTCACTCTATCTAGCTCATAGATTGTAGAATTTTTGACTTATTCAAATATTTTTATTTTTGAAATTAAGATTCTAAATTTTTAATAGAGATCTATGTAAGTGTCATTATATTATTCCAAACATTTCTTGAAAAATTTGTCACTTTTTAGTGGTCAACTGTTCCGATCCTGGAATTCCAGCCAATTCCAAAAGAGAGAGTAAAATAGAACACGGGAATTTCACCTATGGCACTGTGGTATTTTATGACTGCAATCCTGGATATTTTTTATTTGGATCTTCAGTTTTGATATGTCAACCAAATGGACAATGGGATAAGCCTTTACCAGAATGTATCAGTAAGTAGATAATGTGAATTATTCCTCGGGAAAATATCCTGGAGTCAATATCAATGTTTAATATCGTCTATATGAACTAGCTAGAGCTTTGTATCAGAATCAACTGCTTTATTATTTTTTGAAACTATACTTCCACATTCTGCCAAGTCAATTCACTTGCCATCTTTCTTACTATTAATGTGGTAAATATGACTCTCATTTTTGATTTTGAATTTTAAGAAAGCAAATAGAGTATGAAAACACGTAAGTTTTATGCGCTATGACTTTTATTAATATCCTTAAATAGCAAGTATATTTTTATTTTTATCAATATTTAAAATATTACTGAAGTAAAATAAATCTTATGGTAAGGAACAAACAGTACTTTAATACTTGGGTAATTAAAAAAAGCTGTAGATATGCATGATTTATCATAGTAATTAAAATCTATGGATGCTCATTATTTATCATATACAGCCACAATAGTTGTTAATGCACAAATCTTTCCGGTGAGCGATCATTGAATGAACATATTTTGTTTTATGTTGTTGTAGAAGTTGTAGAAATAAATTATAGCAGAAGTGCTTATAATTCAAATGCATAGTGAGAAAAGTAATGTAAAAGAAATATGTCAAAGTTTCGTTTACAGAGAGGTAAATTAATTCTGGGGTTTTAGTCAATTGATAATTCTCAATCTGAAAGACTGTGAAGCTTTGACGTGATAGAGAGAGAATAACTTACTGCATGGAGGATTTTCCATCAAGGAACCATTGTGCAAGTAATTTTTGGTTATATTAAACTACTCAATTATAAAATTATTATATGACAGTGTTTTTATTTAGAGATATTTCCTTTACATTTATGAAATGGGCTTTTGCAAAAGTGTGTGGCAACACTTGTGAATTAACAAAGAAACAAAAAGTTTTTACTGTGTCCATAAAATTTCATATTTCATGCAAATTGTTTAGTAGACAGCACTCCCTAACTGAAATCTGTTTTTTAATAGATTTTTTTCTAATTGAGTGATTCACTTACATAGCTTTGTGTAGTTATTTCATTACAATTAGAAATCTTTTTCTAGGTACTATAACCCTGAAGTTCTTCATATTTTTTAGCTCTGTATTATGTCTTTCATTTCCCTTAATACTCTCGGTAGTTGCCATGTATTCAAGGGTTAGTAAATTTGTTTTCTTATAATATGGTATTCGATATTCTAGAAATATATTTCATTATTTATTTTCCAGGGCCACTAGACGGGTGTACCCACTGTGTACCCTACCTACCTCTAGCTGTTGAAGAATATTCCATAATCTGTTGAATTACAGTGTAGTACACTTAACAGCATTTTAGATGACAAGCTGCTGAGTATTTTCTTTGCACAGGATACTTGGCATGGAATGATACCCGACTATAATTTTGCTTATGAAGCATACATCTGCCTTCATTCCTTCTCCTACACTCTCACAATTCTTCCTGATGTCTGTACAGCCTCGCTGTGAGTTCCACGTGGCATCCTGTACCCTTACTCAGCCAGCTTACTCCTCTCCCTAACTTGTGTGTCCTCAACACACACATACACACTTCACTCCCAAGTGCATACATGTACAAGCACACAATTACAAATGCCAAGGACCTGTCATAGCCACTTTAACGGTTTTATGCTCACTTACCGCTTTCTGTTGAACTCACTGAGGTAGATGAAGCGCTGTGAGTTCAAGGCCAGCCAGGGGTACCTAAGCTAGTTTAAGGTCAGCCTGAGCTACACAGCGCGACCCTGTCTCCAAAAGGCAGCTCTCACGAAGAGATCTTTAGTTTCTGAAGTTTTTCAATACTGAGTAGACAATATCCTAATTATTTTACAAACAAGTTCATTCAGGTAGTTCGATAGGAGATATAAAAGAATTTTATATTCAATAATTATGTATTGTAGTGATTGACTGCGGACACCCTGGCGTTCCCCCCAATGCGGTCCTGTCTGGCGAGAAGTACACTTTCGGGTCCACTGTGCACTACACCTGCACAGGGAAGCGGTCCCTCCTAGGCCTGTCGTCGCGGACTTGCCAGCTGAATGGGCACTGGAGTGGCTCGCAGCCTCACTGTTCAGGTACCACTTTGCAAATTGGACAACGCGCGTTGCAAATTGCACTAGTCTGAAGACTTGAGCAAAATCCAAAGACGCAGTATGCTTCTTTTGTAAAAAAAAAAAAAAAAAAAAAAAATGAGAAAAGCTGAAACATTACTTAGATATTACTAGGAATATTTCTAAGAGATGTAAATCTGAGACAAATTAACACTGATTTCCAGATAATAATTATTATAGTGGAACGTTTTGAACTGTCTAATGTAAAGAATTACAGAGCCTTAGGATGCTACCCTGTGTGAAGCGCATTTTTTTAAGTGAAAATGATCAAATTGCTTCAGGTTAAATAGCTTTATATTCCAGTACATATGAAATGCATTTTTCCCCAGAAGGCAATGATTTTGTGTCAGTTTTATCTGATTAACTTTCTAAGCAATTGATTACTTAATAGCATAATTAAAAATAAATGTTTTGAGTTGAGCTAACCTAACAAGGCTTATAAAAGATATTTATCTGTCTTAACTTTCTATGTTATAAAAAGCAACATATAATTTTGGAGTTCTTTATAACTCCTGTAGTTATCTTTGAATAAATTAATATGAGAGCTATTTTAATTAAGAATATGTACAGAGAATTTCATGAACCTTTTCTAAAATGATTAACCTGGTCTTCAAAAATATAATTTAAAATTTTGATGTAAAATGAATCTCTAATTGATACTATTGTTTTTACCCATTAAATAGATACTTTGCATATTTTTCTGCCTGCTAGTTTTTTTTTTTTTTTTTTTTTTTTTTTTTTTTTTTTTTTTTTTTTAGTTGTCAACTTTAAATTATTTTACTTCTGTGGAGTTCCTGCCTATAACTTAGCAGTAGTTGTTTTACGTTATTTCCATTTTAAAGGGAGAAATTTTGAAATGGTGACTCTGGTACCAAATGTTTTGTAATTGTTGATTAAGTTCTGAGCAGTAATGGGCAGTTTACACGTAATCAACAAAACTTAAAAGCTATCCGTTAGAAATGTGACTAATAAAGTGATTTTCATAAGACTTAAATTCTTTGAGTAATTCAGAAAAATTAACCGCAGAGAAGATAGATGCAAGCATATGCTCACTGACAGTAAAAAAAAAAAAAAAAAAAAAAAAAAAAAAAAAAACAACAACAACAAAAACCACAGTGTATTAAGAACCTGCTACTAGGGGCCTGGGGATTTAGCTCAGTGGCATAAGCGCCTGCCTTGCAAGCATGTGGTCATGAGTTCAATCCCTGGTACCGGTAAAAAAAAAAAAATAAAAAACAAAAAAAAAACCTGCTACTCAGTTTAAAAAATGTGTATAGCTGTTAATAATTGAAATACTTACCTTAAAATTTTGTATAGATATTGAAATTACATCACATAAAAATGAGAAGATGCAAGGAATAATTCTAAATAATACAGCATTTGCAAAACCATGTAGAGAAACAGCATGTTCAATGCTTCTTTATTCAGGTGTTCTGTCCCTCCCTTGTCCTCCTCTTCCTCCACAGCTCAGTAAATGTTAGCACTATGGCAGCTTTGATAAGAGCAATTTAGCAAGTGGGAGAAACACTAAGACTGAGTAGCTTCTTAACGATGAAATAAAAAACTGAACAAAATCCTTACTAGAAAATTAAGCCATGCTTTCTAATTTTTGGTTGTTTATCATTTATATTTATCTTTTCATATATTTCCACATCTCATTAATGTTTGGTCAGTAGTCACTGTTCAAGAAAATTAGGAGAAGTGTTAGAATCTGTGAAGAATCATAATATTTACGTGTCTTGACACCCCACAATTCTAGGGTGACAACCATCAAACAATTAACAATAATTAGGAAATTCAGAGAAGGAAAAAAGTGAATTATAGAACCCAGGTTTTAATTTTAGCTTTTGAGTTTGTAGAGCTGTCTATGTTGGTGTTACTTTGATTGTGGAAAGTTAACCTATAACTTACTAAATGTGTCCAAATATCATTGAAAAGGAAAACAGCGTATTTTTGAACTATTTTCTGTTTACTTAGACTCTTTATGATTGCAAACATTTGGGAAATACGAGTTATACCTTTGCTCAGACAAGTTTTCATGTTAAAAGAACACAGCATACACAAAAATAAATGCCTACCGGACTTTGGTTTAAATTGTGAACTTTTGTATGTTTGCGGAAAGCAGTTAACTGGACCTTTGCCACATTGCAGGTGATGCTACTGGGACGTGTGGCGATCCAGGTACTCCAGGTCATGGTTCCAGACAGGAGAGTGATTTCAGAACTAAAAGCACTGTACGTTTTGCTTGTGATACGGGTTACATCATTCATGGCTCCGAAGAAAGAACATGTTTAGCCAATGGCAGCTGGACCGGAAGGCAGCCAGAATGCAAAGGTAACCTCATACAGAAATTAAATATATTGTGAATGCTGGAATTTTATGTGCGTCACAACTCAGTGAACTATTTCTAAGATAATGATACTTTTTTGTCCCTTCCTGCTCTCAACCATGAAATAAAAAAACAGTATTTTAGTCTTAGAGACACCACCCTGTAATACAACTGACAAGTAATAATTATATTGCAAAATTTTCATTGTTATCTATATACGGATGCTGTTCACAACATAGCATGCATTTAGAGTTAAAAAGTGAAAAAATGTTAAAGGGTTTATATTTATTGCAGATATTAGTGAAAACAAATTATTTTCCAGTATGTATTTTACTTCCAAGCTTGTGTGAATCAATCATATAGAAAGATACTTAAAAGTAAAATTTTATTTTCAGAATATGGCTGGTAATTACTAGAATTCTTGAATTTTGGTTGTTTAAATAAAATGCCTTTTTATTCTGATTGATTTAGAATTAACATGGCTAAATCTTCAAGAGTTTGGCTAGAAATAAAACGCTGTTAAAATATAGTTGTGATTTAAATTGCATTTTTAATTATTTTATTTAAAACAATAGAGTTGCAAAGCTATTTATTAAGATAATTTGAGGTAAAACTAAACATACTAGTTTGTAAATAGGAAATTATTCTCAATAAAATGTTTGTAAATGTTTTGATTGACAATAGTTTTAAAACACTTTAAGCTTAAAATTAGTGATTATATGCTAGGAAAAATAGTTATCATCTTGACTGGATTGATTATAATAATCTTCAGAGAGAATTGCAACGTAACTGATGTCAGGAGAGGAACTGAAAATCATAGTTGCAGAACAAAATTTAGTAAAGCAGACTAAACTGCTCACTTTATTTTTCTAAACTGTTTAACAAAAGCAAAGTCTCCATAAGGATTTTATAGGCATCATTCTGTCTGCAACATCGTACATAAGAGATACGTAAGTCAATGCCTTGTTTATTTGAGCTACAAACTATTTAAGAGATGAAACGTAGTCATTTGACATTGCCTTATTGACATGACTTATGGAGAAGTATCAGTTGTATCAAATGCAACGAATATTTTTGTCATAAATGGAGTTCATTAGAATCACTTATATGAACAGGTTTTAATAGATAAATGAGCAAAATATATGAACAGAAAATACAGACAAACAATAAAAAATAGAAATGTATAGAATAAATTCAAGACCACTAAGAATCAGAAAATGATGATTTAACATCCAGACATTGTTGTTCACCTATGCTTAAAAGGATAATGCAAAATTCTGGTGTGTGTGCAGGAAAAATAGAATTTTAGAATATTTCAAAGTTATTTATATTATAAGGATAATTCACCAAAAACAGATAAATCTGTAGAGTATGTATTGATTTATTACACCCTTAATGAGAAATTACTTTTCTAAAGAAAGTTTAATAGGGAACAATATGAGAATAAACTTTAAAGTAAAATTATTTAATTACAAACAACTGGGAAGAATTTCATACTAGAAAATATTATATAAACAGTTTTATGTTTACATAATTTATTAGTTCATAATCAATAAAATATTACAGTTTCTAAAGCAATATAAGGTAGTCCACATTATATAATTTTTAGTTAAAAAAACTTTGGAAAATGTTATTCATATGAGAAAAATTCGGAAAGAAAATAATCACACATAATATAATAGAAATATAAAGTAAAGAAAATGTAATGTCTGTATTCCAAAGACTTGTAGTTGTATTAGTTTAATTTACAATGAAATATAAAAATTTTCATGAATGTGAAACATAAAACATACTCAAAATAAAAATGTGAAATAATTTGTTTCTTAACCAATAAGTTCAGCAATGAAAATGTAAAGAATGTAATATATTTGGCTGGATGTGCTGGCACATACCTGTAATTCAAGCACTTGGGAGACTGAGGCAGGAATTCAAGGCGAGAGTGGTTCCATAAGAGAATTCAAGACCAACCTGAACTACATAGTGAGATCCCATCCTCTCTCTCCCCCAAAAGAATGTAACCTTTGACAAAGAAATAATTTCTACAAAAATTATAGCAAATTATATGGTAGAGAATATGCTAAAACAAAGATTTACATTATTGACACAAGTACATGTTTTATATAACATTTTGGGTACAAAATGGTACAAAGGTGCAAATCTAAATATTTAAATAATTTAAAAATACCATTCAATAATTAAAATAAATCAAAAATTCTACTTTTTTATTAATTATTACCAATATAAAGAACTGCATATGTATTAGATATTGTAATAAAATTATAGAAAAGCAAAAGAGTACTAAACTAAATTCAATGCTTAGCAATAAAAAATTAGGTAGGTAAGTTATCAATACGTACCACATGGAAAGCCTCCAGTGTCTGAACTTTACGACAGAAAATGCCCTAATTGTATTGCTAAGACACGTAGGATTATAAAACAGCAGTAAATAAGCTTGTTCTACATTTAAACTGGTAGCATTTCAGTTTGGGGGAACTGCCTAGCACAATGCCTAATATAATATTGAAATTAATATGTATTCACACACATAAATATATCACTACATAATTATTTGGTCAGATGTTATTTTTTTCATGAATCACTTACAAGTAGTTTATACTTTTATATGCTTTCATTTATTTTTGGACATATTAGAAATGGTTACTTGTTGCTTCTATATAAATGATACATTGACCTTAAAACAAGAATTATCTCTGATAACAAGATAAAGATATAAAATGTCATTCACATAAAGTATCTTACATATCAATTATTATATTCATATATATGTATTATATAATACATATATATAGCTGGAATGCTTTTATCCCTTTCTCCAATATATTTATAAATATACATTTAATGAATATGGTCCATTTTGTTTTCATTTTGTACAATCAGAATCATCCTTAGTAATTTATTCTAAATGGGTCATTCACCTTTAAGTAGATGTGTGATGCTGGCCAAGTTACTTATTCAGTTCCCTACCAAGAACTGATGTTGATATAGATTCTAATGTGGCATTGTTGTGAGGATGTAATAGCATTAGGGAAGTTGTCACTGTCACACAGTAAGTGCTCAAAATATTAACTATCACATTTATTAAATTAGGCCAATTGGCTGCTGGAAAATCATTCTCATTGGGAGAGATGGTTTTGTCAGTAACCAATCTAAGTACACCTTGTTCACAGCAGCAACGAAATCCTCTTTCCCCAGATGTATTACAGAGGCAAAGGATCGCTGCCTTGTTTTCTGCCTGGAATGCTTTCAGCCCTTTTTTCTCATAGACTGTGATTAAAGATTAGATTAATTTATTTGTTTTAAGTTCATTTTACTTGATTTTAGTTCACATCAAAATATTTTTTAGAGAAATGTGTGTATTAGGTGGGGGGGGGTGTAAAAGAAGATCAGGAACAACAACATGATTTAGGTATGGCTTGAAATCACCAAGACTCTCAACATTCTTGCTTTTTTTGTGCACAGTATTACTGGACCTGGATTCCTATTTCAAGCATAAAGTGCGTGACATTTTAAAACAAAACATAAATTTTATAAAACACTTCTTCCATTGCTTTGGATCTGTGTACCACGATACATGGCAAATAAATATGAGCAGAACTTTATTTTGAAAGATGTTAATTACATTTGACTACATGCAAAAATGTTAGCTATATATTAGGTTTTGCTGAAAATATTATCTAGAGTTCTATTTTTGTATCCATATGTAAAATGTAATATATAAACATACACATCTAACCCCACTACCAATGACAATGAGAATAAATATATTTCTGATGCAGCAGAGGATATAAATGGCACTTTCTTAATTTGTAATTGCACATTGTATTTTTGAAAATAATTTAATATTTTATAAAGTACCAAAGTATTTTCTGATATTACAATAAAATTTACTAATGTATTGCTGCATGATTGTTTCTAAGATGCTTTAAAAATACATTTGCACTACATTAGTGACAAATAGGTATACAAAATCAATAAAGTATTTGTGTTTGGGATTACAGCTTAAGATATATTAAAAATTTAATGAAAGCTCTTATGAGAATTTAGCTACTTTGTTTTTGTTTTGTGCTTCATTTATTTGTTGTACCCTTTGGCCCAAAATAGAGATTATAACTTTTTAAAGCTAATCAATTTTATTTTTTATGTACAAATATGTATGCATGTCTATAATACTTAAATTTGCATATTTATGTTTGCCCCTGGAACTATAAATATAATAAATCTCTGTTGTATCCTATTATTGCATAGCTTCCAATTTTACATGAGTAAGTTTTAAAAAGAGAATCTTGTAATTGCTCCATGGAAAATTTTCTGGTATCTAAATGCAGTACTCTTCAAGTAATTGCATTGTGAAGTTTTTACTGAGGCTCCTATCAACAGTCTTAAGCATATCTGTTATTATGATTTATTCTCAGTAATTTATCCCACTAATGAGGCTAATAAAGTCAACATAAATTCATCTTGAACTTCAGCAACTTATAAAAGAGAGCTCATGACTTATTTTGAAAGATTTTAATGTTCTTTCAGATAATTTGAAAGGATGCTATAGTCATTAACTCTTTTTGAGAAGATTTCTAATTGCATTGTTTTTATACATGCTTGAAAATCTTGTTATAGCCGTGCAGTGTGGTAATCCAGGAACCACAGCCAATGGAAAAGTCTTTCGAATCGATGGCACAACATTTTCTAGTTCAGTCATCTACTCCTGTATGGAAGGATATCTCCTTTCTGGACCTTCGGTTAGACAGTGCACAGCCAATGGGACATGGTCTGGAAGTTTACCTAACTGTACAAGTAAGAATTTTTTTCAATATTTAAAAATGATTATTTAAAGGGAAAATTGAGTAATAAATTTATATTTTTATTAACAAAACCATGCAAGGTTTTGAATAATTTTATTGTTTTTCAGGTTAAAATACGATAGTATTATAGTTTAAGTGCACATTAGTGGCTTTAAATGAGTTGGCTTTCCAAGGTGCTATATTGGCTGACAGATGGCTGACAGATGAAATAACTATCATAAAAAAATCATGCCATCAAGTATATACAGTTGGAATGTCAGGAAAAATGATGTAATCAAGATTAAAACTTTGAGGGAGACAGCTTTATTTTGCCAGTTTCACACGAATTAATAAGGAACTTAATTTTTAAAAGACATACTGAAATACTTGACTTTCTTATTGTTGGAACCTAAGACCTTATACACACAAATTAAGGGAGAGGTTTATCGATCCATGATACAATTGCCTTTGAAAGGCATCACCTCTAAACACATGAGACTTTTGGAGGACATTTTAGATTTACAGCATAATATTAAACTCCTACCCCCAAAGTTCATGTGATGAAAAAAATGCATTTAGTCTCCAAGATTTTAAAAGTATTAGTAGTTCCAGCACTTTAGAAGTTAAAGTCAAAGTTTATTCTGAGATTCAAGGCATTATTAACTGTAAATGACTCTAATATTTAAAAAAGTAAGTTACTCAATTCTAAATACAATGGCATAAGGTACGTTTTCCATTTTAAAAGGGTACAATAGAAAGAAACAAAAAATACCTCCAAAGCATGCCTCAAGCATAGGAAGCATAATATTAAGTCCTATAACTTTATATTTAGGTTCCAGGGTATGAGTTTGGAAGACATTTGTGTCAGAGGGCTTAGGCACTTCACCTATATGACCTTTCTAGTGGAAGCCTAAATAATTCTCTTCTGGACTGGTTCCTCTCATTGTCTGTATGTTTCCTTAGCAGACATTTCAGGTTCCTGGCATCTCTAATTGTCTGCAATCTCCATTACACCTTTGCTTTCATTCCCACAGCTTTGTGCATTGTTCTATCTGGAGCTCATTGCCTGGCCTCCAAGGCCTTCCTTTGAAACTTGGGTGGAAGCTTCCTTAAGCCAAAATTTTTTCATCTTGAATATCTATAAAATGATCAGCCCAGGGATGTTGTTAATATCTGCTCCCAGTTTGAGCAATATAGGGACTACCACGGACCATGGACGTGGTGGCCTTTGAGTGCTCAAATGGTTAAACCTGGAGATACATTTCCCAAGATACCCCTGAATGAGCAGAGCTCCCTGGGACTCCCTTCAAATCAAATTCATTCAAATGAGTCTATGGTAAATGATCTGGAAAAACTCCTGATATGTCCTCTAGTGATCCTTTTCAGTAGCCTGGCTCAGTGTACTTTTTTAAGGGCACTAAAAGAGCAGCCATGTGCTCTTTGACCCCAGTGTTAAATGTGGCTCTTTTTCTAGCCTAACTAAATTTTCAACAGTTTTTGCTCTGGATTCCCATTGCAGATGTGGTTAAAAGCACCCATTGACACCCATGCCGCAGCATGAACATTGGGCTCCTTTGAAAATTCTTCTGCCAGATTAATTACTTCACTACCTTTAAAATATGCCTCATATAATTAAGACATGGGCAAAATATAGACAAGTTCCTTACCAGGATGTAACACAAGTGATATTTAGTTCAATTTCTAAGAGCCCTAATTTCCTTCTAAAATTTCACAACCCTGGTCTTTACCATCTGCATTTTTATCAGTATTCTGGTCTTCTGGTCAGATTTTCCATCAAACTCCACTTGCAGAATTGCAGGGCTTCCTTCTTCATATTTCTAATAATTTCAAACTCTTCCCACAAGCCATTTCCAGTGTCTTCTGTACTATCTGGTCAGATATCAGGTTTAGTCATTCCAGTACCAGTTTTCTGTGTTAGCTTTCTTGTTTTTGGACCAAATACCTGACACATACAATTTAAAAAGGGAGATGTTTATTTTGGCTCATGGTTTAGGAGGGCTTAACTCATGATCAATTGACTGCTATGCAGAAACACCTGGTAAAAGGGTCTGGCAGAGGGAAGCTCTCAACTCATTACAGTCAGGAAACAAGAGGAAGAAAGAAAGATCCAGGGAGAAAAACACGTCTTTCCAGCTCATTCCCCCAGTGTCTTGACTCTGCAAACAGACCTCACTTCCTAACAGTACAATCAGCTATGAATTTATGAATGGATTAATTCATGGATGAACCTAGTGCTTTCGTGATCCAGTCACCTTCCTAAAGTGTCAGAACAGATGAGGGTTTTAAAAGAGATTTGAAATCTAAAACACACTGATATATTAATTTTTACGAATTATGGAACGACAGATCTGTGATTGGTTATATAAAATCAGTTCTGATAGGTGACTTACAATGTTAAATTCTTTTTTTTTCTTTTTTTGTCTTTTTCCTGAGTTCGAGGGATCGAACTCATGACTGCCTGCTTGCAAGACAGGAGCTTATGCTGCTGAGCTAAATCCCCAGCCCTCAATGTTAAATTCTTAAAAGTTATATAAATTAATATGTGTGTATGCAATAAAACAATATTTAGGACAGGAGATGCAGCCCAGTGGTAGAGCACATGCCTTACATCCGTAAAGCTCAGGGTTGGATCACCAGAACAGGATAATGACATTATATTGGATAAACTATGGATGCCTAGATTTTAAAGTGGAGCTGAATAATGTCAGTGTGGGTTTACTGATTGTAATGAACGTGCTGCTGTAGAGTGGCAGGGCTGATAGTGAGGGATGTTTCGGTACATGGGTCAGGAAGTATATCAGAACAACCCCCACCTTGGGCAGTTTATGTACACATTGAGCAGTGTTTTGCCGACTACCTCAGAAGTTCCTTCCCTACCTCTCCAGAGGTCTTTCTCTTCCAGTGTTCTCTTCAGTGCCCTTTCCCAGAGTCTCTACCCACAGGTTTCTATTCTGAATCATCACCATCTTCTGAACTCAGGGATTCTGCTGGTCTCTCCCTGGCTTCCTTTTACTTGCCCCACATCTCTGACACTTTTTGAAGGCAGTGAAAAGGGGCAGTCATTACACCCTAATAAATTGTTTCCATCACTCAGAGATTGCCGAGCCTGGTTGGTTGATGTCTGTTTTGTGAATACTTACTTTTATTTTGTCTTGTTTTGATGCTGGTTGATTTCTTGTTACTGTGTTTTGAAGTAAACCAGAAATGTTCTTACTAAATTAGAGAATATGTCTGTTTTATAACTCAGAACAACTTATCAGTTAACGGGTACGCACTGCCAATTACATACTACACTATTATACTTAAGCCTTGAAAGTTTGTATGTAGCCAGGCGCAGTGGAGCACACCTGTAATCTCTGCACTGTGGAAGCTGAAGCAGGAGGATAGCTGAGAGTTTGAGGCTATAAAGTGAGCTCAAGTCCAGTCTAAACTGCACAGTGAGAACCTTTCTCAAAAAGACAAAACAACAAAATTTCACCCATCTTTTTATATTAGCTCAAATGATATATTTGATAAAACAGGACACTTTCTTCTCATACCCTTTGTTCACAACCTATTTCTCTGTACTGTGTAACTCTTAAGGCAAATACCTGTGCCACTAAAATGTAAAATTTATGGAGCATGTGTAACTGGGTGTGTTTATATCACTAACTGACCCACTAGGATAGTTCCTAACATCAGTAAAGAGTTGTTAACTGATAGAAATATAAAAATAACACTTCTGCTGTCAGAATATGTGATTTTCCAGTCTAATTCTGCTTTAAATTACTTGCAGGTAGAGCCTATAATTTGAAAGCTGACAGAGCACGTAGGTTCTGTAATGTACTGTGTTTCCAATCAATAGTTATTGAAGAAAGTATAATATATTCAGAGCAAAACAGACAATGAATAATGATTTTGCTTATTCATGGAGAAACCTCTCAATCTTTTATTTAAAGATGTTTTCCAATTTTAATAAAGATAAGTAAATATCCTGTTTCCTGTGCTTGAAAATGACTTTGACTTTTTTATTAAATGGCCTTCATTTTTCATTAGGGATTTTTAATCATGTTAAAATTATTAGTTCAAAACACATTAGTGATAAACACCATATCTAAAAATTAAAGTTTATTTCATTGTCAGTTCTTCAAAGAGAAATAATGCACTGAAAAATGTAATTCAAGCATTAGCTTTTTAATGATGAATTACTGTTCTACAAAAGCCAGGAATTTTTACCATTTTTTTAAAAGGGGAAAAAAGAAAGAAATCTAACACTCTAATAACAACTCAAACCATAAGCAAAACAAAATGAAAGCAAAGACAAAAAATGAAACTCTACCAAAAAGAAGTGGAGACGTTTTTGTGGAAATTAAAACAGCCTACATTTCTGCAATTTAAAAATCTTACATAGTGATAGCATTTATGTGAGGAATAGCACATTGAATTCAAATCAGTACTTCAGATTTCTTCTCATTAATTTGTACTAAAAGTTATTTTAAATATATGATTGATATATTTAAAAGAGTCTTACAGTTTTGGAGATTGTCCTAAACACGTATTACATTGATTAGAAACTGAGGTATTAGAGTATTTAAAGATGTTTTTGAATACTCAAAAAGTTCAATGCTAAATGGTAATTTTTATCATATCAACAATTTAAATTTTTCATTCAATTTAATTATTTTTAATGGATGCCAAAAACATTAAACACAAGGAAAATATATGTTTTAAATAAATTCTTATTTAACTGTTTTGCCTTTTGTAGCTACTATTTCTATGTTGAAAATATATAAGTATATAACTATGTAATTGATAGATTTCTAAGTCAAGACTCTGATAGCAAATTTTGAAGTCTGTATGTCTTCATCTATTTGCACTGCTCCATCAAGACAGTTTAACAGGGTGATTCATGAAGAATAAAATTTATTTCTCACATATTTCGGGGGTAGGAAACCCTAAGCCAACCGGCCCAGCAGACCCTTTCTCCTGCAGGCTTTGTGTCACATGCTCATG